ATTTTGTTACATGTTTTACCTCTCACAATAATAGTTTGAGAGTCTTGACTCTTGAGATGCATCGCTTGTGGATTATTCGAGTACACCACATCATTTTTTCATCCTCGTCTTCCTGCTAATCATACACTTAAATTATATATTTGTTAAAGATAAAATAAATACGTATAAATTGGGAGCGATCAAATGATCAAATTATCATGTAGACATTAATATTTTATTTTAGAAAAAGGAAAAAAAAATTCACAATGATCAGTTATGATTCTCCACTCTTCTCACATTTCTTGCTCTTCTTTCTGGTTTCCACTCCTTTTCCTTCATCTTTGTTGGCATTGGTTTTTAATACCCAATCCGATCACCTGGACATTACGCCATTACGGCCCAATAAGACTATTCGGCCATTACGGCTGTTCGCATTGGTTTTTAATACCCAATCCGATCACCTGGACATTACGCCATTACGGCCCAATAAGACTATTCAGCCATTACGGCCCAGAGAGGAGAAGACCGAGTAATTATGTTGAGAATCAATTCAGCTAGTAATGAGGATTGAAGTGGAGCCCATTTTGACTGTTTTTCGGAGAAGAATTTGAATCAGCCTGATCCGTAACGGCCGAATTGATTGTGGCGAATTAATTGAGTAAGGGACCGAGGGTTTTCAGGAAGGAGGTATAAAACCAAGGGGAAAAGGAGAAAGAAAAGGATTCATTCTGTATTCTCAAAAAAACCAGCAATACTCAATAAGAACAAATACGATTCTTTGTTTTACAGCAATTCGTCAATTATATCGCTTTGTTCATCTAGACTCGATTAAACATCTCTGAATATTAATCTTTTGGTGTGATCCGAATCAATCCAGATTCGAGACTCACATTAATCTAAATATTAATCTCTTGGTGTGATCCGAATCAATCTGGATTCGAGACTCACAATCTCCTTGTTCTTCTTATTAAAACAATGCAACACATCCACAAACAAATAGTTTCTTCTCCTTATTCTCTCTTTTTCCTTATATATTCATCTATGTTGTCTCCGACAACGAACTACTCATCTCTCTCCCACAGAAACCATTTACTAAACCCCAATTTGGCAAAAACATCTTACCATTAAGGAATATTAAGTTCATTA